CGTACTAGATTACATGGACTTGGAAGTGTTTCTTATTTGCAGGAACCCAAGACTTGGTAATCACCAACTCATAGCATCCATTCATCTCTTGATTGCTATAACCTTTAGACAAAACAAATGAATAACTCTCAGCTAAAAAAAAAAAAAATCCATGCCTCTAAATACCAGGCTTTTAAAATTAAAACAAGTAAACAGAAAAAAAAGTCAACAAGAGAATCATAATTCTAACTCAACACCCACACAATGTAAAGAAGCACTTACACCTCTGTGTCTAAGATCTTGAGGTGTTGACAATCAAATGCTGGTTTTCTCGGGAATATCTTTCAGATTCTTCTTATGCAAAATTTATTTTCCAGTGAAAGCACATTGCCTGCTGCTACCAGTCTGAGTCAGCAGGATAAAGAAACCTCTTGTTTTTGAAACATAAGTGAGATCTCGTTCTGGTTTTCTCTTTGGGAAACTGTCCTTCCTCTAGAGCAGGTCTGTGAACTCAGCAAGCCTGCTTTCTGGAATGTCCAGGTACATTCCGTTTCACTGAAGACACACGCTGTAAAGGCTGCAATATTTTTTAAAGTACTTTTTGTCCTGTCTTGTAGGACTTATCAGTATGACCCAAATCTGTCCAGTGTGGTAGTTGTCTTATGTTTCAAAAAAATAAAATAAATAAAATCCATGCATTTTGGGGGAAATTTCCCAGGCCTCCACCTGACATGCTTCCTCTGACCATTTCTGGTCTTCCCTCTTTCCCATCTTGACTTCCTCTCTTTCTTTCTGTTCATCCCCCTGCCCGCCTCCTCTGCATCCTCCTCCTCTCCAGGCACTGTCACTGCCCAGTATGACCACACTTGGTCACTGAAGTTCCTTTTCCTGTTCCATGGCCTTATCTGTCTGCTCGCTGGCTGTGAAGCCCTTTGCTGTTCACCTGCTTCAGTCCCAGGTCCCTGGGCAGAGCCCTTTAGAAAGTGGTTCTGATTAAGAGGATTTTTTGACAGTATGTGTCCTTTGTCAAGCATCTAAGACACAGTACGCAGTTATCCAATGGCACATAGTTCTCCTGTATGATGCTTCTTACCAGCATTTTTTTGTTTTGCATAAACCTCCTGTCTTTTTTGTTCCTTTCAGACTTCTTATATGCTTTTATTATATTAATATATAATAAAGTGTTTTAAAAATAACTTGATATTTTTAACCTTTGGTACCTTTTCAAAGACCTATTTCTGGCTCTAGGATTGCCGAATTTTTATCTTTAACTCTTCAAATCTGAAGAGATACCCTGAATACATTTGCAGCTTCTAAATTTATAAACCAACATATTTGATATTCTCTTTAGAACAGATGCTTGACAGGCCCGTCATCAGTGAAAAATGGCAAATGGCACAGAACAAGACATGCACAGGGTGCGTGCAGCTCCTCCTGCCTGTGTCACGTGTGTTCATGGGAGTCCATGGGGGCTCCAGGGGGCACAACTCTGTCACCTTTGCCAGAAGTCACTTTATCATAAACCACATTCAATCTATTTAATGCAAAAAAACCCACAAAACATTCAAAGTAAGAATGCTAGTAGACATACTAATTTGCTTTGCATTTATTTTCTTAGCAATATACATGCATATCTTATTAACTTTATATGAGTATACCTAAATCATAAAAAATTTAGATGTGCATTTGACCCCATATATCTGACTTTTGTGGATGCCATAAAATGCAGAGTGAAATAAGAAATATAAAAAAGTAAATTACACAGCACGTCTGACAGTTCTACTTTCCTGATTTTACTCATTTCATATCATATTGTTACTATTTATTTTCATATTTTCTAATCAGTTTGATAATTTGTAAAAAATATTTGACGAGTTTTGGTATTTGCAGCTCCTCTAATATGAATATTGAAAAAAGTAAATGAAACCCACCAAACTAAAAAAGAGAATTATAAGTATTGTATGTTTCTAGTGAGGGACAGAACATATAATGAAAATAAAATTAAAATCACTAAGTTGTGAAAAAATTACCAAGCAAAACAAGACAAAATGGTATGAGGGCATTGATTGTAAAAGCATACATTGGACCTGTGATATTGTAACATGATTTCTAAGTATATATTCATATGTAATATATATATATATGCACACATAATTCATGTATCCTCAATATCTTCTAGTAGAAAAACACTGAGATTATGTAGCATAGATTTCAAAATAGATTCTTCCTCAACTGGTGTTATTGACTTGTCTTAACTTAAATTCACTGTACTTCTCAACTATCAGTCCTCCAAGGCTAACTTCAGAGCGGATAGCAAAAGGAGTTCACAGCTGCAGATTGGCTTTAAAAAGTGTCTGTGGTTGACTCCGGGGGACGCGACCAGAAGCAAGTGGCCACCACATAGGTGGTGCAAATTTTTGCTAAAGAAACAAAAACGAACCCCTTTATCTCTGCTTTTGAAGGTTTATTTTCTTCTCCTTGTGTTTCATGAAATTAAAAGAAAGTGAGTGAAAATATGTGTATTGCTACTGTTATTTGTGGTCAATAATATAGCTAAATAGATTCCCACAAACTTCTTTTACATCTACTTACTTCAGAGTACTGAGCATTTGTTCACTGACATCATAGCAGTATTTGAAAATACTGAGCATCCTTTATGTATTTTTTTGAGATATTTTACTCTAACTGTAAAACCAGATAGTAAAATCTGGGTCCGATCCACCTCTAACAAGTACTAACAATGGAATCCTTGGCAGATCAGATTTTTTTTTAAATTTGGACTTTACTTTCCTAATCTGTAAAATGACTGGAATGACACATTGCTCTGGAGCAGATACAAGAAGGAGATGAGAGGCTGTGCTCAGTCCATACTAGTTCCCTGAACTAGCCCTGCTTACTCCCGGCTCAGTGCAGCCACACAGCCTAAAGGAGGAGACTGGCACGTTGGAAACTAATTAATGAAATACGGTGAGCACTGTGCTGTGGTTATATAAGTGGATGGGGAAGTGCAGGGAGGACGCTGGTCCCCTGCTTTTTTCTTCCCCAGCAGAACTGCATTTAACATAAAGGGGAGTCGTTTTATTGAATAATAAAAGCCTGCCTATCGCTGAGCTGGCTGCCAGCCACCTCTGCAGAGCAATTCTAAACAGCTTGTTTTCCAAGTTCTTCTGAAATAAGTCTCTAACACTGGCCACTGCCTAACTCAAAGGTGCACAACTCATTTCTAAAGTGAAGTGGCTCACATTTGAATACTGCGGTAAGGTAAGTGATGAGAGAAATATACATTAGCATCTTATTTTCTCCTTACAATGATTGGAATCCGATGTTTTTTACATGAAAAGAAAAATTTGGAAAATTTAACAAACTAAGGTTCCATGATACAAAAATTAACTCACGACCCAGAGAAGAAAAAGACAAGTGAAGAGATCTTATTAAAAAATAAAAATAAAAATAAAAAAGAAGCCCAGAGTGTTTTAGAGTGAAAGGCACATTTGAACTGTATGATGCAGCTTAAAATCCAGTGGTTTCAGGATAGAATTCAATGAGGCTTCAGAAGGCACCGAATCACTTTCTCAGACGCATTTCTCATCGAGAACGCTCACACTGTATGAATAGTAAGTTGTTGTAGGGCTGGCAACCCACCAAATAAATATTTAATGATATTTTAATGCTTATTTTAAATCTCTTTTGTGTAAATTGTGGATTAAGACTGTGTTGGGTCAATGGATTCTGACCAGAATGTTTGAGAAACCTATTTGCTGTTGCAGCTCTCTATGGCGGCTGCATACTTAATTTTCACAATTGTCCAGGGTAGGTCACCTCTGGGAGACATTTCGTCTTAAATGTCAACCTTGGGAACGTGGAGACAGCAACCTGGGGACCCTGGAGCTGTGCAATGTCTACTTCTCAGACACGGAGATGCCGATTAATCCCACACACCCCCGACTCAAGGCAGCACGGGGAGACGGAGAGACGGTCCTGCTGTGGGTATTGCACAGAAATGAAGAGAAATGGATGCGCTCAGGCGCCAGAAACAGGGTTCTTGAACAGGCAGTGGAAGCATCCAGGGCTTCCGGAGATTGGCTGATGGAATCTGTGTTCAGGCGACAGGCAGCCTCAGCCAGACGCCAGGTGGAGAAGCCCTCACCTCCCACCTGGCTGCGCCCGCTCCTGGCGCGCTTCTCCCCCTCGAGACCGCCAGCTGCTCGCTCCCCTTCCGATCCGTGGATTCGCACAAAGGACCCACTCGTCCCCTGGCCCCTGGCCCTTGACTTCCTGCCCCAGCCCACAACTTGAGCAGGAGTCAGGCAGGAGCCCCAGCCATGGAGCCTTCCAGAAGAGCCTGGAGGCCGGCGCGCGCGCGCAGACCGAACAATGCCTGGTCCAGGCAGGGATGCATTCACGCCCCACCCCTGGCGATGGAGCCCGCCGAGAGGGACGCGGGACAGGGCCCTGCAGGAGAGGCTGCTGCGTCTCTCCCCCTGCACACGTTCCCCTCTGCGGCGCGCAACGCGGTGCCCTGCACGCGGATGTGTTGATGGCGACCCAGATGGAGGGTGGCTGTGCCCGAGGCAACGCCTCCAGTGTCGCCGGAGCCCGGTTCCCGGAGCTGCGCGAGGAAGCGCAGATCTAGGGGAGGGAGCGGCCGGGGCGGCCTGGGAGGCAGGGACCTGGGGAGCAGGGGGAGGTGGACAGAAACTTCGGGAGAGCCGGCTGGCCGGGCGCGCTCCGCCGGTCACTACCTGGAGACGGAGCGGGTGGCACCCAGAGGCAGCGGCAGCGGCGCAAGTTCTCGGGAGCAGCAAGTTGTTCCCGCCTCTCAGGCGTGTCCACGGCCCCGCGGCCCGCACACGCGCTCCGCATCCAGGCGGCGGCGCCAGCGGGGGCGGCAGTGACGGCGCAGAGGCGGCTGCGCTCCGGGCGGCCCGCGCGGCTCCGCTCCCGGCGCTGCCCCCCCCGCCCCCCCGCCCCCCGCCGGCGGCGTGTGCGCGCGCGTGTGCTCGGCCCCGGGGCCCCTGCTCGTCTGCGCGCAGCGCCCAGCCCGCCTCCGGCCCCGCGCGGCTCCGTGGCGCCCGGCAGCCCGGCCCTCCCGCCTGCGAGGCAGCCTGTCACGTGTCAGTATCCGAGGTCGAGATCCAGAGAAAAACGCGCTTCATTCCTCCCACCGCCATACTGTATTTTATACCAAATCTCATTTTTATTCCAACATTTTACTCCCGCTCGGTGAGTACCTTCTCAGTGGCATTCTTGTCCTATTCTTTTTTTTGTCCTTTTTTTTGTTTTTTGTTTTTTTCTTCTTTTTTTTCCACTTCTTTGCTTATTGTTTGTATCTGGGAACGCTGGAGGAGATGGTTTCGAGCCTTTTCCTGAACCAAGTTTTTCTAGCAGGCGATGGGGCCGTGGACGCGGCGAGGTCCCGAGTCCGCGGCGACCGTGCTGCGGAGCGACTCCGGCGAGATGTGCAACTGGTTTTATGGAAAAAGCGATGTGAAGTGTGGTGCCTGTTTTTTCCTTTGTAAAAATATTTTAAAAGCATGTTTCTACCTCTTTTTTTTTTCGCCTACTCTTTTTCTGATAAGATTTTTGGATAGGTGGGATTTTACGCAGTGTTTACAAGTTTGTGGTTTTGCAATACGGGTACAAACCACTGAGCAGTGCCTTTTCCATTTTCTTGGTGCCCTTTTTGGAGCCGGTGAGAACAAATTCGTTTTCCCCCGTTTTTGATAGCCATTGATAACGTGAAACTTTTCTTGCAGCTGGTTACTGGGATTATTTTTAAGCAAAATACTTTTTTTCCCTCCTTTAAATTAACCATGACTTTTGCACATTTGACTTTTTTAAAACCCGAGATAATTTTATGATAGATATCCTGATATCTATATCTATATTACCCCTTCTTCCTGCCCCGCCGCTCCCCTTATATCAATTTTCAAATGATGGCAGTGGAAGGTTTTTCTGGAAAAAAAAAAAATGAAGTGCGGTTTGGTTTCCTTGTCAACGGAGGATGAAGTGAACGGCTGAACAGCTCGCAGCGAGCAGGTACTTGGTCCCTTTGGAGGCGTTTCCCGGGTTTGCAATGGCAGCGCTGGTCCTGGCGAGGACGTGTGTGTGTGTGTGTGTGTGTGTGTGTGTGTGTGTGTGTGTGTGTGTGTGTCTGCGCGCGCCCGCGGTGGGGACAGCCCTGCCAGGCGCTGGGGAGAGTCCCCTGCCTGCGATCCCTCCTGGATGTGCGCAAAACACAGTCCCTCCTCGGCTGCGCCCAGGTCTTCTCAGCGGCTGGCGGCTTCGGCGCCTTGGGCGGCGGCGGGCGGCGGCCGGGACTCAGCACGCCGGGCCCTGTAAGTTCTCGCAGGGCGAGGGCCCTGGGCGCTGCGCAGGCCGGCGGGCGACCCCTGGAAGTACCGGGAAGTGGGGAGGGAGCATCCAGGCAGCATCCTCCCAAGGGGCTGGCAGCTGGCCACAGGGCCAGGCGCTGGGGACCTTTCCAGCTCCCAGAGGATGGCACCAGGCACCAGGCACCAGCCCAGGCGCGCGCGCCCAACTCCGGCTCCTCCTCTTTGCCAGGAGTAAACAAGGCGGGAGGTCTTTCCCAGCCTGGTTGCAGGTTCGGTTCCGAAGGGTGTTGCTGTCTCAGAGCGGCGGTGCTTCCTTTCTCTGGTGTGCGCTTGGGTGCTAAGGACTTGCTGGTGTCTTCCAGGGAATGGGGACACAGTTACTTTCCATGATGCGCAATCGGGTATCATGTTGAGGATGAAACAGTTGGTATTAATGAGACCACTCCCCTAAGGTACAGAATTCTCCATTACTCGAGGTGTAAAGAAACATTGTTGACTCGTTATAGCCACCTGACAGTGGTGCCAAAGGCTTTCCCTTGAGAACCGGGCTGGACAGGTAGGGGTTGGTGATGGCGTTGCTTGTGTCGGTAGCACTGCGCAGTGTTGAGTGAATTCTGTGGAGTTTGTGGTAGTTTGTGACTGTTCTGTTATACGTTTCCAGTGTAAGACTTTTGGGAGATGAACCGGTTGGTAATAAAAAGCCGTTTCGGTACTAAACTCAGTGACAGAATCTGCTGGAAAGCCTGCTTTCCAAATAACTCTGCCGTATGTACTTTAAATCTTAAAATCTGGAGGGTGGCTGGTATTTAAATGACTTGCTTTTGCAGCCTTTATTTTCTTTTTCTAACAAGAAAAGCTCAGCTTAAATTTATCATGTGCATGTAATTTGTATTCTTTTAAAATGAAAAGAAAGAAAGTGAAATATGTTTTATCTCTCAGACTTAGTTTTCTTCTATGTTATCTATAGACTTAAAAACTAATTCCAACACATGGAAGGGCCCATAACAAAGGGGTTAATAACACATGACCACCTTTTCAGGCCAATATTTCTCCAAGTCTTTAACCTGAGTTTGTGGAATGAAAGGTTTTATGCCTGTATTTCTTTACTCCTGGTGCTAATAGAGTTAGGAGTGCAAATGACCGTTTCTCTGGAGAAGATTGAAGTTTATTGAAATATTCAGAGTGCTGTATATTTCTTTATTCACCATGCACTGCCTCATCAGAGGTCTGTAGAAGTCACGGTGCGAGCTGTGTTTGTGCTCCACGCAGCTGTCTCTTAGGAAAGCCCTGTTGCATTGGTAGCAGGGAGAGGGTTCATGTCCCGACTGTAGACGGCCACACTCGACACTGAAGAGGGGAGAACTAAGCCGTGACTGGGATCCTAGGTGAAGCAAGCTTCCAGCGGTGACTTATGTGCATATGTGCTGTGCCTGAGCACATGATGAAAATGTAGTCTTTCATCTGGTTTAAACAACTCACAAAAGCATTTTAAAAGCCACTTGTAACTTTCTGGTTTTCTAAATCATTTTTCTCATAATCATGTGTATAAGTAGAGATGCTCATTCATTTAAAAATGCGAGATAATGCATGTGTACAGTATTTTTTCACAGGTTGCATGCCCTGTAGATCCTTTAGTTCTTTGAACAGAGAGACCGAGTGGGAAGGAAACAACTTGGGTAGTCAAACCAAAACCTTCACTGAGGCGGGTGCTACCGTGTGTGTGTGTGGGGGGGGGGGGGGGGAGGGGTCTCACAGCTGGGGCAGAGCTGAGTTGTACTGTATGATGCATCCCAATGAGATGAAAACCATCGGGGGAGGGAGATGTTCATAGGACTTTACCGTGGGAACACACATGTGCCTGTGCTTTGACATCTGTAAGTAAAAATCATACTGAGAACCTCTGGCCATCTTAGGTTTCCATTGGACACTCATAATGCATTATACAATATGCTTATGTTACACTGCTCTCTGTCACATTCAGATTTTTGTGATTTCCTCCTCCGTGGATCATATTGGTCATTCTACAGCTGTTGATACTGGCCACCTCTTCTGTGAGTTCTTTGGTTTAAAATCTCTGAGTGCAGCCCCCTGTAGTTAGCACCGCCTACTGGCTTGTCAAGGGAAACAACCCTGTTCTTTCATTCAGCTAGCAACCCACCCATTGATTCTGGACAACTTAATCCTGTGGATAATTCCCAGCTGCTCACAGAAAGAGAGAAATATATTTTGCAGGGAGAGAGGGCTTGGAAGGTGAAGGTGGGAGGCGAGGGAAAGGAAATGTAAATTAAATTGGCTGTTGGACCATTAACTGACCTCAAGTATTGTATTACCTGAATTTTGATAAAGAAATAATCAGAAACTTAAAGCAATTGTTAAATGTCCTGGAAGTATAAAAATGTTCCAGGAACTCTTATGGCATGCCACAATTTGCACTTTAAAAAAAATCCTGGATTACTGAATTAATTTCACAGTATCTGCCTCAGTCTTAACATTGCAGAGAAAGGAGACGTTTATCGGAGTCCTGTCTAGAATGCCTGGTCTGTCCAATGATTTTTAAATGAAGAAATGTTCAGCATTAATAGTAAACATTTAGTTATTTCTTATATATATCCTTACATGGCTATAAGCAAGCAAGCAGCACACTGATTTTTATCTTGGTAAGCATGAAGCTCAACTGTTTTTATATATAAGGGGGGAAAGTTTGAAACACACATTCATAAAGGCACTCATGTTTACAAATGACAAATTTCATCTTTTGAAAAGATGGTTGGTTTATTTTCTCTAATTTTTATGAAAGGTGAGTGGTTAAAAGAATTCTAATTTATGTAAACAAATGGTACCTTTAAAATATAAAAAGAATGGAATTGAAAGATAATACACATACATTTGATATACAAAAAAAAAATATATATATATATATATATATATATATATATATTGTCCTAGTTGAAAAAATTATACACTATGAGGGTAACTTTTCTTAAGTAAAATAGCCATTTTTTGAGGCAGCTAGATGAAGTGAGGGGAAAAGCCCCGCGTCTGTTACAGTCAGAGAGCCTTCTGCTAGGGGCAGTGTGGTCTCCTTGCTCACTGCTTACTGGCAGCGTAAGCAACTAATTAAACTTGTGCACCCAAACAAACAAAACTCGACGTGGAGAGCAGAAGAGAACTTGATATTTAGGATTGTTTACATGATCAACAGAAAATTGAAGAAAATATTTCAATTACAATTTAATTTATTCTCCTCTCTGACTTTTAAACACTTTTATTTTAAAATAGTGATTAGCTGTGACGTAAAAACCAAACCAAACCACAGTTATATCTCCACTTTTATCACATTGCCATTGAGTAAATCATATTTTGTGCATAAAAAAACTGAGTTATTAATGGATTTTATTTTTAAACTACTTTGGCAGGCTCTGGAAAGTAATAAAAACCTAATTTTAAAAAATCTTCACTGATCCTAATATTATTGTTACTATTTCCTTATTGTTTATTATTATCATTTGATACTTACACTGACTTGCACAAATCTTTTTAAAATCCCATTCTTTATAATTCAGTGTGATTTAAAAAAATGTAATACATTTCTCTTCAGTAATTGACAATGGCAACATTACCATTCACATTAATGACAAAGGAGGCCAGTTACCTCTCCTACACCATGATTTTGAGAACAGTAACTGTTATATAAAATTTAAGTAATAGCTAATTTCTGAGTGGAACAAAACTAGCTACACATTTAGCAAGTCAAGTATGATGTCAATATTGTATTCTTCACCATTCTCCTTTTTATTATTAAATTTTCCTGCAGAATACATATATCTAACCCAGCTATTACCAGTTTTAGTAGTGTTGCTTATTCGCATAGCTTTTTATTTTGAAGGA